GACATGATGATCCAGAAAGCTGCCTGTGTTGAGATGAGGAAGACATTCTTCACTGGCTCCTGACAGCCGTGGGCTGCTTGTTATGGACTAAAGGGTCTCCACTGGACTGCAGACGCTTCGCCACATGCAGACCAGACGAGGGCAATGCGTTTCACATTTCAGTTCATGAAACAATAGAGGTCATGTAGTAGGTCTATGGCATTTCAGATTCCACTTAACCAGTTTTGTTTTGAAGAAGCGATCCAAATACTCCTAACAATATTTTTTGTTTACGCAACTGCATAATACAGCTTTCAGATATCTATTGTTCCATTTGCATTTAACAATTTAACAGTCGACTAATATATTATTTTCAGTGAGTGGGTGATACTGTTGGCATTGTGACAGTGCAAGCTTATGCAAATCCTAAACAAATGGAAACATTCAGGTCTATTCATCGGATTTGGACTCTTCTGTGCTAAACTCTTGATGTATACAGTTGTGCTAATTAATCAACTTTATCGTATATAAATACAGTATGTGAAGTTAAATGCATGTTATTATGCATGTAAACTAACAGATCAACACATCCGGAGCAGATGTATAATTTCCTCCGGTTATATGTAGAATTGCAAATCAGCTTTAGTGTAAATATTTGCATGGAGGCACATAGATTAAACTGCACACACACTATGAGTAATGCATTGCTCGCATAAACACACACGTACTGCAGCCCAACATCTGTTACGTGTGAATTCTCTGCGAGAAAATGGGACACTTGTCTGAGAGACTGTCTCACTCTGACCGGTGGAGGAGGTTAAGGTCATGTTAGCTCTTAGCCATTACTAGAGCGGAGAGGGAGGAATCATTAAGGGAGAGAGAAAGAGAAGGGCAACTAAAGGAGACATAAAATGATGAGAGTTAAAAATGAAATCATTATGAATGCTTGGCTGTATTTCTTTGTTGTTATTGCTAACTAAATGTAAAAAATGTTTTTGTTCATTAAAATAAAGGAGTAAAATCAAATATGAATATTAGATTAACAACTTCAACTTAAAAAACCTTGAAAATTAGAAATGAAATAATTTTAAGTTGGAAGTACTGATATTACTAGAACTAAAATAAAAAATGTAAATTAAGTCATAAAAATAAAAATAATACTAAATGGAAATATTACAAAAACGAATAAGAACGACAAAAGCACATAAAATTAAAACTTATACTAAATTTAAAATGAAAACAGAAAGTATGAAAATAAAAACAAATTTTAAATATGAATCAGTATTATAATAGCATACATAATACTACCGAATTTCCATTTTTCCAGAGGAAAATATAGGACGCTTTTTCAAACCTCACATTTAATATACACTCTTAAAAATAAAGATTCTTGATATTTTTATATCAAACACTATCTTGATATAAGATATTTTTAGTTCCATGAAAAAAGCCTTCAACATCCATGGAACCTTTTTTAATTGCACCAAACGTTCTTTATAGTGAAGCAAGGTTCTCTAGATTTTTAAAATGCTCTTAACACTAAGAAAAAATGGTTCTTATAAGAACTTTTTACTAAAAGATTCTTTTGGGGAGCTCAAAATGGTTCTTCTCTGGCATCACTGTGAAAACTCCCGTTTGGAAATTTTTTTTTAAACAGTGTAAGTACTTAATCTAAAATATTTCTCCAAAAAAAACGACAGAAATGTTTGGAAGCCTGTTTCCGCCACTGAATAAAAAATATAATTCTGTAAGTCATAATAATGAGAAACTTTCTCAAAATTTTGACTTAGTATCTCATTATATTGAGAAACTTTCTCGTAATAATGACTTAGTTTCTAGAAATAATGACTTAGTTTCTCATAATAATGAGAAACTTTCTCGTAATAATGACTTAGTTTCTCGTAATAATGACTTATTTTCTCATAATAATGACTTAGCCTAATCCAAAAAATATATATCTATAAAAAAAGACTTACTCGACGCATGCGCAACGCAAGAGTGACAGCACGCTAGCGCCATCTGGCTAAATTTGTACAGTGTCCCAACTTTTTTGGAATCGGGTTTGTATTTTTTTTTTTTATTCAGTGGCGGAAACGGGCTTCCATAGGGAAATGAGACTTGTATGAATTAGAAATGTTTGAGTTCATAAAATAAAACATCTTGGCAAAAAAACATGACATTGCTGAGAAACACATTTGAGAGTACTGGAGACATTTCCCCAGGGGAAAAATATGAGAAACAGGAGACTTGAAGGGAATTAAAAATAAAATTTGCCATTTCTTTTCACCATAAACTCTTAAAAATAAAGGTGCTTAAAAGGTTCTTCACAGCGATGCCATAGAAAAAACATTTTTGGTTCCACAAAGAACCATCTTTCGCCACAAAGTAAAAGTAATGATCTATATTACTTGTTTGCTATTACAAGAGCTATGTTTGAGAAACAGACCAATTTTGTAATTCACTAAAGTCTTGACTTGAAAATCTGCAGTGGTCACCATTCACTTGCACTGTATAGAAACGAGCAAGTTGCTTATTCTGCTACTCTTTTTGTAATCCATACATGAAAGAAAATCATATATCAAATCAGATTTTTAAAAACACAAGAATTTAAGAAAATAGTGACATCATTTTCATTTTAGTTGAGCTTGTTTTTCTTGTCTTTTTGCACCTTCAGGCTGTGAAATTATTTGACCTGCTATTTCCCCAGGACAGTCCCATTATTGCCGATCTGATGAAATCACATCAGTAAGCTCATAGTTCAGGCAGAATAAACAGAAGCGCTTGAGGACGTTTCAACAGAGAATAAGGAGACCCTTAGAGGCACACAAGTATCGACAACACACCCAAGGAGAGGTGCGAACGCTGTCTGAGAAACACTTCCCTTTTTAAACCCCAACAGCTGCATTCACATCTGCAACACCACACCACAGTACACAACATAAGCGTAACAAATAAAGAACCGTGTGTGGTGTGACTCAGACAAACAGCAGTGCTCCATCAACAAAAAGCACCTGGTGAGGATTAGACAACACAACCGGAGCGGATAAAAGGAAGAAGGTATCGAATCCGGTCTACGCAGAACACATGCCTTCACTTTCCAGCTTAACCACAGCAGCTGATGCAGTGAATGAACTGCGGTAGGGGACTTCAGCTGTTTTATCCCTGAACACATAAGTTAGGGAACAGAATAAAGGCGTCAGCTAATCTAAAGTGTATCCATTGACACAGGAAATAAATACCGCCAAGTATTTCCCCATTTACACATTACACAGTCTGTGTTTTGACTATATTAATGGCAGTTGGAAAGGAGCCACATAAGTATGAGTCTACACCACAGAACCATGTGTTAGCAAAAAGCCACACGGCACACAGTGGGAGGCTGCTCTTTCATTCACTGACTCTCTCTGCAGAATAAACACAGCTCTTATCATCAATGGACGGAAAGGAAACCTCTGAAAGCCCCGTTGAGGAGCCAATTCACAGGTGATGAGATTTGGATGGTATATGCAGCTGTCTTGGAGATATAATAGGAGATATTGTGTATTAAAACAATTTGGGGATATCAGAACCTTAGGACCCAATCCTCAAATGAAACGCTCCATTAGCCGTGCGGTTTTTAAAGCGTAATTAATCCCTAAGTGCTGACGAATCAGTACATGGACAAACAACTGGCAAAGACATGATTCATTTTGACTGCCTGCTCTGCAAAGTCGGAAAGCCTTTTATTTTTAAACCAACTAATCACTTTAATTAATGAACAAAGTGAGGCACTTGTGAGTCACTAGGCTACTGTATGTGGGCTGAAGGATACGGGCATCAAAGTAATTTACAATGTAGCGTTAAATGCAATGTTTTCATGTGAAATGAAAGTAATTATGTGGCAGGAGAGACCTAGACAGAAAATAAGAAAAGAAACAAAAAGAGCCCGAAAAAGAATGGAAAGAGACAAATTTTGACATAAATGTCCATAAGGACTTTGCTAATGAATCCATGTGATTGATTCATTGAAAAGAATCAATTAAAAAGAATGATTCACAAGTTGTAGATTAATATGGCTTGCATGCAAGGTTTAACGTACAGAAGAGTTTTGTTTGAGAATGAACAACTATTCATAACAGGGGTTCATTACTTTTACATGACTTTTAAACTATTATTATTTATTATTTATATGATATTAAATATTTTATATAGTATATATACAAAGCAATTATAAGATAATATAGCATATATTCAGCAAACAGTTCAAAGGTTTTGGGGTCAGCAAATTTTTTTGTTTGTTGAGAAATTAATTTACAAAGATGCATTAATTTAATAAGAAATGACAGTTAAGACATTTATAATGTTACAAAAGATTTCTATTTAAAATAAATGCTGTTCATTCAAACTTTTTATTCATCAAAGAATCCTGAAAAAATTGTCTCTACTAAAATATTAAGAAGCACAACTGTTTTCAACATTAATAATAATAAATTTTTCTTGAGTACCAAATCAGCATATTTCAATGATTTCTGAAGACTGACACAGAAGACTGGAGTAATGGCTGCTGAGAATTCAGCTTTCCATCACAGGAATAAATTACATTTTAAAATGAATGAAAAAATAAGTGTTTTAATTGTAATAATATTTCACAATATTACGGTTTTTGTATTCTTTTTATTCATTTACTTATTCATTCATTCATTTTTTTATCAAATACATGCAGCCTTTGTGAGCATAAGAGATCATGAAACTTACCGACCCCAAACTTTTGGTGTGTGATCACTAGAAAAATTTATATTGACTTGAATTATTGAATTACCCACTTTTAATATCTCAACTAAATTCCAAATATTAATTTATTACCACAATTTTCATAACTGTGGGAACCCTCAGAAGAGAGAAGAGTCAGGACAAAACAAAAAGAAAAGCGCTTTAAACTGAGGTGTAAAAAAACCCTTATTGTTGTACTGAGGAAAGTAAGGCAGCATATGCCCTCACTGCCTAAATCTGAGACCCCCTCTCTGCTTGTCAGCTCTGCTTTCTCACCAGGCCTGTGGCTTTCTCTTCAGCAGCCCCTGCCGTCTCCACTGGGAGTGTGGGCTCAGGTGGTAGGTCAGCTGACGGCACACCTTCTCCATGGCACCCAAAGCATCTCCCTCCTGACAAAGACAGGGAGAGAGACCACATCAATCAGGCTGTAACACACAGCAGGTTAATGGGAACTGACAGAAGATCAGGGTATCTGAGCCCTCAAGGTAAAATACTAATTTCTTTGACATTTATGATGACAGATGAGCAAAGCTATATGGACTGACCGACATGTCACAAACACAGTCTGGCTCTATCATTAGGTCATCTGAGGTTAGGGAGTGCGTATGCATGTGATTTGGTAAAATGCATTAGCATGTAATGGATTAGCGACAAATTGATGTATTGTATGGCCATCTCTGGAAAGCTTTATTATTTTAACTCACATTCATCACTGCCTAAAGCAATCCAATTCGCAGAGAGACACGGACACTCATACACACACTGCCTCAAGTAACTGCCACACTCCTCTAGATAGAAACTATTTCTGCCAATGTTTAACACATAAATTACCAAAAAAAGAAAAGCGCCGCATATTCCTGCAGGGCTGCCAATAATTAAATCTAAGGATGCACTGATATTACATTTCTGGATGATAACCAATAGGTGGCTAATAAATATTCTAATTCTATATTATTTTGTGAATTCAGGATTAATTAGAAATTTAGTATGAAAATGGATATTCATTTTGAGATTTGGTAAAGATTATATTTAATGTTGTTGATTATTTATAATAAACTACAGTATATGAATTCAAAGATGACTGCAGTGATAATCTAAATGTAAAAATAATTCAATATCTAATACCAATTGATACTAATTAATTTAATACCGGCAGCCTTATCACCCTGCAGCCCAAGACTAGTTACCCACTGAAGCTAAGCAGGGCTGAGCCTGGTCAGTACCTGGATGGGAGACCTCCTGGGAAAACTAGGTTGCTGCTAGAAGAGGTGTTAGTGAGGCCAGCAGGGGGTGCTCACCCTGTTGTCTGTGTGGGTCCTAACGCCCCAGTATAGTGACGGGGACACTATACTGTCAACAAGCACTAATCCTTTGGATGAGACGTTAAACTGAGGTCCTGACTCTCTGTGGTCATTAAAAATCCCAGAGTAGAGGTGTGACCTCGGCATCCTGGCCATATTTGTCCATTGGCCTCTAACCATCATGGCCTCCTAACAATCCCCTTATCTACTGATTGGCTTCATCACTCTGTCTCTTCTCCACCAATAAGTTGGTGTGTGTGGTGGGTGTTCTGGCGCACTATGGCTGCCGTCACATCATCCAGGTGGATACTGCACACTGGTGGTGGATGAGGAGATACCCCCTGACAATGTAAAGCGCTTTGAGTGCCTAGAAAAGCGCTATATAAATGTAATGAATTATTATTAATTACAAAATACATGTAAAAAAATTATATAAGTGTTGTTACTGTTAAGTAAAATGTTACAAATAATTTTTGTTTTACAGAAATGTTTACAGAAATAAAATAAAACAAACTTAAAATGCTGCCTTGGCAACTAACAAAATTAGTTTAAACTTAAGTAATAACATGACTAAAGCTACAACTGAAATTAGAGCTCAACAGAAGTATATTTATAAATATAGGGCGATAGCCTAGTGGGCAGTGTGCTGACATATAACGACGCTGTGTTGTGGGTGTCCCAGGTTCGAATCCCAGCTCGAGGACCTTTCCTGATCCCACCCCACTCTCTCAATCCCCCTTTGCTTCCTGTCTACTCTACACTATCATATGTGGCTCTGGAGCACAAAACCAGTCATAAGTGTAAATTTTTCGAAATTGAAATTTATACATCTACTAATATTTGGCCGAGATACAACTATTTGAAAATCTGGAATCTGAGGGTGCAAAAAAAATCTAAATATTGAGAAAATCACCTTAAAGTTGTCCAAATGAAGTTCTTAGCAATGCATATTACCAATCAAAAATTAAGTTTTAATATATTTAAGGTAGGAAATTTACAAAATATCTTCTTGGAACATGATCTTTACTTAATATCCTAATGATTTTTGGCATAAAACAAAAATAATAATATTTTATAATTTTGACCCAATGTATTTTTGGCTATTGCTACAAATATACCCATGCTACTTAAGACTGTTTTTGTGGTCCAGAGTCACATATCTTAATAAAGGCAAAATGCCAAAAATAAAATCTTTAAAAAAAATTCTTCAAAATATTAAAATACTTAAATAGTATAAAATAACGGAGCATATTTCAATTCATTATTATGAGCTGCAAAGGTGAATTCCTGGTTATGAGATTTTTTTTTATTGTCCATTAACAGTAAGTTAAATGTACAGAGGTTTATTACTGGAATTACATTGATTTGCTTCAGGTAATAATGAGGTTCAGTGCACTTGAGTGAATGAGAGGGCACTGCTCATACATGACTAGATTAGTTTCAAGTACTAACACTTGTCTCATCTGTGGCTCCAACTAAAACCTACAAAAATGTCTCAACACGCAGAGTCGGCTATAAAATTCACAGGATCAGGACCACTGACCACATTTTTATAGGTCTTACTCTGGACCAAATGAAATTTGTTTTTATCAGGAATCCAAGCTAACAGTAACATAGCATTTCATCAAGGACACATTGTCTGTGCTCAGGTGTCTGTATCTGAACTGGAAACATCAATATGTAAATCAATCCGGCCATCACATCTCCCCGCTGCACCAGGTCTTGACCTCTGCAGGGGATGAGAGATAGAACTATGTCTGTGGATACTGAGATGTCTGGAAAACACCCTATGTGTTAGTAAAGCCTAGTGGGTGCTGATGGTGAGATTAACAGTGCCACTTGGCTGGTCAGCTCTAGTGCGCACCCCCCTGCAGACAGACAGTGGGTCCCCTGGCAATGTAATCATTCACCCAGCGGGCTCTGACAGCTCTGAGAGTGTAACAGACAGCCCAGCTTTCCTTTCGTCACATTACTGAACTCGTCTCTACTTTGTCTTCCTCCACTGCTACTTGCAATAACATCACTTAGAGAAAATGTCACCTTACGCTCTTGTGTGAACTCTCACTCTCCCCACTTTTAGTTGACATTTCATTATGTCTGCTTAGTTAAAGTTATTGCATATGCATGTTTCTATGGCTGGTTCTCACTAATATGCTCAATAATATGCAGGTCATGGACTGGCCATCTGTTAAGGGTGTTTCCCTGCCTGTTGCCTGAGATGCTGGGATAGGCTCCAGCCCTCTCATATGGTTTGAAAAATGGATGGAGGTCCAGGTCATATTTCACCATAAAATCAAAAGAAAGTAAAAAAAAAAAAAAAAAGATAAGTAAATAAATGATACATTTTTGTGTAAATTTATACATTTAGTTGAATTTTGGTAACAATTTATAATAGTGAACACATATTCTCTATTATCTAAGAGATTTCCCTCAGTAAACTTCTAATTTGCTGCTTATTAATAGTTAAACTTAAAGGGATCTAAAATATGGTCATACAGAATAAGGCATTAGTATGTGGTTTATAAGTAGTAATAAACAGCCAATATGCTAGTAATATCGGTGATAATAATAAGCAACTAGTTAATAGTGAGAATTGGTCCTTAAAATAAAGTGTAACCTGAATTTTCAGCAGCCATTACTTCAGACGTCAGTGTCACATGATACTTCAGAAATCAATTTATGCTGATTTGTTGCTCAAGAAACATTTCCTATTATTATCATTGTTGGAAACGGTTGTGCTCATTAATATTTTAATATTTTAAGTTTTTCCAGAATTAAATATAAAGTACAAAAATTATCTACAATACATACAGTAATATAATAATAACCTACATAAATTCTCAATTTTTTTCCTATTATGTTAATGAGAATAAATTGTTTTTGCATTCTGACAACGAGCACTGAGAGAGGAAGTGCTCTCAATTTAAATAAAAATAACAACACAACACAAAAAATCTTAAGACTTCATTTTGTTTAAGCAAACTATAATTTCTTATTTCTTTCTTTTGATTTTGGGGTGAAATAAAACAATTTTCTTGACAGATTTCATGAGACTTACACAACCACATTTTGTTAGAGAAGATGTGATGAGCTCAGTGTAAAGAAAACAATCGGCAGCATCCTTGTTGTTTTGGTGGAGGATCAGGTGTTTGTGCAGCTCTCTATAGCAGCTGAGCAGGGTGTTAGTGGTGTGATATAGTGCCTGACTTGCTTCATTAAGTGCAGCAGCAGCAGCAGTCTTGAAAGAGGGCTGACTGGTCTTTAGTGTGTGTGTGACTCATCCGGCAAAACACCTCCCTCTGCCTCTACCCTCTCCGCTCCCTTCATCTCTGCTTCTGCCTCACACAGAGACTCACACATGCTTAAGCAACTGGGTTTCATCCTAATGCTCACTGCACTGGAATGGTACAGTTTCATTCTGCACGTCTATCTGCTGTGCCGTCCAGGCAGTGCTATAAGGCACTTTTCATTAAATATTAACGTAACACAACATAGGAGAAATGTACAGAAATAGAACAGAAATGGGAAACAGAAGTGTGTGTGCGTGTGTTTAGGTGTGTGCATGTCAAGAATCACAGAAGCACTTTACCGTCTTTGGGCAGTGAATATATTTGGCCAGGCTGATAATGAGGTCATGGGTAATGGGATCCACCAGGTTGCGGAAACTGGCATAGCGGTAGAGAACATCATCCAGAGAGGTTGACTCCATTCCCAGATCCTGGAAAAAAGACACAATACAGGGAGGTCAAGAGAATGAGAACTACAGACTACAGCAGCAGATCACACTTAAAGGAATAGTTCACCCAAAATGAAAATTATTCACCCTGAGGCCATTCAAGATGTAGATAAGATTGTTTGTTCATCAGAACACATTTGGAGAAATTTAGCATCACATAACTTGCTCACCAGTGGATTCTTTGTAGTCAATGGGTGCCATCCGAATGAGCGTCCAAACAGCTGATAAAACATCACAATAATCCACAAGTAATCCACATGTCTCTATCACTTAAAGTCTTGGGAAGTGAAAAGCTGCATGTTTGTGATAAACAAATTCATCATTAAGACTTTTTAACTTTAAACTGCTGCTTCTGGCCAAAAAAATTCGTTCACAATCCATAATAACTCCCCCAGTGAAAAAGTACATCCCTTATCCTCTCACATCCATTAAAGAAGTTAACTGATGGACTGGAGTCGTGTGGATTACTTGTGGATTTCTGTGATGTTTTTATCAGCTGTTTGGACTCTCATTCTGACGGCACCCATTCACTGCAACGGATCCATTGATGAGCTAGTGATGTAATGTGAAATTTCTCTTAATCTGTTCTGATGAATAACCAAACTCATGTACATCTTGCATTGCCTGCCTGTGAGCACATTTTGAGCACATTTTCAGTTTTGGGTAAACTTTACCTTAAAAGCTTATTTCCTTATTTTTAAATTCTAATGTCATCTATGAAGCTTTTTATTTGTAATAAATATTTACATAAATGTAAATGTGCATGTAACATTTATATACGCTTCCTAATGATGATGTTCAGTGTTCCTAAAATCATTTAAATGAAATGTCAAAATGTGGGCCTAAAAAGTGAAAAGACTTTGTTGTCTATTTAGAACAGAAAAATAGAAAACAAATCCTTTAACTGTGTAAAAAAAGCTAAACTGATGGAAAAGTTAATCTACATTATCAAATCAGTAAAGGAAAAGCGCAGGCACGGGGATCAGCAATTTAAAAAATTGCAAATGTGTGTGGGGGTGAGGGCTCTACAGCCAAATGCTAAATAATCAACAGCGAACCAACGGGAAATGGGTGGGTGTGAATGAAACAAATCGTCATTAGTATGACAAAGTGAATAAGGTTAGTCTTTGTTAAGGAAAAAGGCTGAATAATTTTAATGTCACTATAAACTTACTATTGAATTTCTCTCCCTCCATCCATAAAACCCTGGACCTAAACTGTGCATGCTGAGCATAAGCCTTGGTTTATCATTATCATCCCTCTATGGAGCAGAATCTTGATTAATCAATTTCCATTTAATCAAAGGCCCATCCATTTTCATGGTTTCCGGGCAACAAGGTGCACTTGGTAACCAGTGGACAAGAGATGCTGTCCTTTGACTCTCTTGCTCATTATGTGCTTTAACCCCCATTGCAGGATACACTGCAAATGCATTTCAGCAAAAATCTCACATTTACTTGGGGTAAAAATCTGCCCCTTGTGAAAAAGAAGTGCACTTAATTGTGTACTTCAAATCGTAAAGGTATATTTTTAAAGAAACTGTACTTGGAAATGCAATGTTAATGTAATGGAAATTTAATATTAATCAAATAAAAGGCCACTTAAGTGTACTTAAAGAGGGTAAATTTCATGTTTCTTAACACACTTTTAAAGTGCACTTTGTAATAATCTCTAATTAAAAGCTGTAAAGTTCATTTTAAATCATTACATTTTTAAAGAAGTCACTTATTTTGATGTGTTGAAAAACAATATAGCACATGTAAAGTACTTGATTATAATTTTAAATATAATTAAGTGTGTTATATGATATTACATTTAAAGTTTAAATAATTTAAATGTACTAAATTGTAAATTTACCATATAGTAAGTCGTACTAATTTACTATCAAGCATAACGGTAAACTAAAGAGTGGGTCAAAAAACATAAGTTATTAATTAATTGCATTCAATATTCATTTAAACTATAATACACGTTAATTTGATTGTAAATAACATGCAAAAAAAGTGTCAAAAAACATTACATTTGCTTGCACTTAAGTATCTTCTTTTAAAGTAGCCTATATTATTTCCATAAGTGTTTTCACAAGGTCCTTTTGAGAACAAATCCTGCAGTTTGTTCCGCAGCCAGCTGTTGCTTCGTCACTGCCCGACAATTCCTTTAATACTACCTATGGAGGATTAGAAATCCCTATTAACTCTGTCTTTGATCCCTGCTGCCCATATGCAGAAAATCCTCCACAGAAGCAAAGTGCAGCAGACCTGCTAAAATGACCTTCCAGGACATAAGACGGTCGTTTCTCTTGAGGAAAGCTGGATCAAAAAATAGTAATGGGGCAAGAGTTCTGGCCGCATATACCCATCAAACAGAGTCACTAGCTATCTGAGACAACCATTCGATATAAAGCAGAGCATTGCGCTTACTGACAGCATCCATAATCACTACCCAAAGTAAACAGTTGGTGTTTATGCAGTGCAGTATTACTCTTCGGCCAGCTTGAGCTGTGTCTGTTCTCACAGGTTCACAGGACTGTAAAACGGGCATCTGTCCCAATAGCACTGAATTCTGTGAAATGCAGAATCTATAGAGCTGGGGAAACTATTGCAGGAGTCTTGCTGTATCTCAGATATGTCTGCATCAGCACTGACAGTAATGATGCGTTTTGGAAGAAGAGTTTATGTCTTTCAACAGCTTTCAAAATAACACCAACTCAGTATAGGACTGACATTTTGGCCCAATTGCAACATATGATTCTTTCTGCTGTAAAGCAAAGTGGGGTTTCTGCATGGGCCACAGATTACAAATCAGGCCAATGAGTTCAATGCTTTGGGGCCTCTGTTTACTAGCTGAGAAGCCCAAGGTGGCCTGACATATGCAAACAAAAAGCTGCAACATAATTTCTTATTTGTGATCTGATTTCTTGCCATTTGGACATTACATCTCACTACTACCACAGGGAGCCTCCAAAAAAGACTGGTGCCAGGGCTTCGCAGGACAATATTTGCCACAATAAAAGCTCTTCAAGTGCTGTTTACGAAATTGAGGAAAAGCTGACAGGTACACAAATGGATAACAGAGCTGACAATCAACTTGTGGTGGACAAGAACTCATTAGAGAGAGAACTCTGACAACGTTCTACCTCTATTTGAGTTTTAACCTAATCTATTCAAGAATCATGGAGTGGTATTTACCTGCCGGAGAGTCTTCAGCATCTCTGTCGCCTCATCGTGTTTCCCCTGCTTTGCCATCAGCATCATCTCTTGTATCATCCCGATGCGCCGCTGGTAGGGAGGAGGAGTCCCACTGCTCCTCAGTTTGTCTCCTGACCTCAACATTATAGAAGTAAGGATGTCTCCTCGCTCTTTCGTTGGGGTCCGTTTCCATCCTGTGCTCTGAGGACTCGCTCCTGCCTCCTGTCCCTTCGTTTGCTTCGCTCCCATGTTTGGTTATAGAGTCTCACCCTGGAAAAGGGCCTCCAGACTGGGCATACTTTCAAAATGAATCCACATTTAACTATTAAAAGTCTTTTAATTTTACGCGAGATAAAATTTAGTAAGAAACAAATGAAAATAAGAAATAAGCTTTAGTGTTCCTATAAAGTTTATTGGAGAACAGTGTTTTAAAAGTCCTTCTGCTCACCTTACACCTGTCATCTCTAAGCTGACAGAGAAAATATACTTGCATTAAGATGTGAAATTATATAATAAAATTACAAAAACTTGGCATTTCAGTAAAATCTGTTTCACAAACGTGCTCATTCACAGGGTGTGAAATATGAGGGAGGTTTGGGGGGATGTACGACCCCCTAATTAAGCCATGAATACCCCAAATTAAAGTTGGGGGTCTTAGAAATGTATTTTTACATAAGCATTTATATGTTTCAACAGCGTTCGAATAACGTTTCAGTAACCACAAAATTTACCTACGCGAACAGAAATCGCTTCTGCGTAGGTAACCATAGCAACAGCTGCTCATGATGTTTGTATCGGGCGCTGCATCAATAAAACACTGTACTGTCGTTATTTATCACATTACCATGTATAAACACATCACAATATTCTCACAAAAATACTTGTGTTTTGTTTAAAACGTCTTGAGGGTTAACCGCACAAGGAGCGCAAAACGACCGTTTGGGTTCCGCGATACGAAGCGATTACGCTCATAAAATTACTTAAAAAGTTGACTCCACTGCGTACATTTCTCATCCAATTTGTAGTTTACAAAACGTTGAACTTTTATATCATTCACAGCTGACTCGTGTAACGTCCGTTGCTCACTCTTTAGAATCCTCCGTTTGCACGCGCAAAATTATTTTGGAATTTTATAAGGCGGCAAACCATCTAAAACACTGCGTGTTACATTCCAAACTTCTTGTATTTCAGTCCAATTAGGGCATAATTAATATCTTCTGCCAAAGCACCAGTAATCCTCGATTCACTCAGGTAGGGAATAGATCTGATGATGCCCGCGGCATGACCGCAGAGGAGAGCAGTCTCGCAAACCTCCAGAAACTCTCACAGTCGGGTTCAACAGAATTCTAGCACGATCTTACGGCAGGATGTTACGTTTCCCGCCCGTATTTTTATTTCAGTCGTTGTTTGTAAGTGTTAACATCGCAGTTCCTCCGCAGTCTCTCAAAGGCACACGATGTAGGTTTCAGTGTGAGTTTAGTCGACGGCGAGCAGTACTGCTGTGAAAAAGGGCATGTAAATATTTACGTCGTCCGTCACTGTTTTCCTCCGAGCTCAAGTCATTCCAGTGTTTTCTTCCACGCAGACCGCAGAAATATCACTGTTCTCTGCTGAAATGTGCCATGTCCAATTAATTCCCGCTCTGATATGACCTCTCCCCAGGTGTGTCCCGTCTGAGGGTAGGGTGTGTTCAGAGGAGAGCGACTGAACGGTCTCTCATCACTCAGATGGAGCGGAGAAGCTCTGGGTCTCGACACAGGCTGTGTGGGAGGGGTGGAGCGGTCTGCAACATCCTCCACTTGTGTTTCAATCTATAGTCGAGAATGCACCACTGCCTTGGTACAGTTAACCAAGTGGAGCAGATGGTCGCTATTGGGACTGCTCCAGTTCTGCACTATAGGAGGCATTTCAGTACTTTAAAGGAAATGAAATAATCATTCACACGTATGGGCAATCCCATATCTCCCCCGTATATGCGTAGTCATAGATTCTCCTCAAGTTATTTTTTATCATTGACTTGTGCGCTACGTTAATAGTTGGCCTTTCTTTGCTGACATCTGGTGTTTAACACATGGCATGTCATCTGCTGCAAAAATTTTTGTTCTTAGACGAAAATTTGGAATTGGAAAAAAGTAATAAAACTCTTAAAGCAACAGTTCCCCCAAAATGAAAATCTGCTGACAGTGTGCTCAAGCTCAAGCCATTCAAAATGTAGATGAGTTTGTTTCTTCATCAGAACAGATTTGGTGAAATTTAGCATTACACCACTTGCTCACCAGTGGATCCTTTGCAGTGAATGGGTGCCGTCAGATTGAGGGTCCAAACATCTGATGAAAATGTCACAATAATCCACATGGCTCCAGTTTTTCAATTTACGTCTTGTGAAGCGAAAAGCTGCGTGTTTGTAAGAAACAAATCCATCATAAAGGCATTTCAATTTTAAAGGCACAATATGTCATTTTTTGCCAATAGAGGGCGCGTATTCAAAACAAACAAAGGCATAGTTTGATGACACCGTGATTGAGTGTGGAATCATGGGAGTTGTCGTCTTCATCCCCACAGCCGAAGCAATCCGACGGGACTCGGGCAGAAATCATGTTCATGTATGAGCTAATGCATTAAAGATTTATTAACGTCGTAGAATGAAGCAGGGTGAGGCTGAAAGCCGTCGAAGCGAAACGAGGCCGCTGAACGAGCGCGACACACGGCTCGAAAGCAGCGGAGCTTTTATTATGCCGCAGTCGACCGCTTCCACTCCTTGGCACCCATTCACTGCAGAGGATCCATTGGTAAACAAGTGATGCAATGCTAAATTTATCCAAATCTGAGCTGATGAAGAAAAGAGTTCTTCTACATGTCAGATGGTACATTTTCATTTTTTGGTTAACTATTCCTTTCAAACTTCATTTCCAGCGATATCGTTGACATGATTGCAAAGATATTATTTAAACTGAGCTGGATGTTGACATCACTGAATTCAATGATGAACTGTCTTTATCTGAAAAATGAGTGTTTACTATTGTCATTTTGCATTATTGACACTATTTTCCTAATTAATGCTGTTCAGTTGCTTTGACACAATCTGTATTGTTAAAAGCGCTATATAAATAAAGGTGACTTGACTTGAAGTACTATGGAGTATTATTTAAGGTAAATATATCATATTGAAAATTTGAATTAAGTAACTGACCTGACATATTTATTGATCCTATTTCAAGCCATTTCTTTGTAGCGAACAGCAGCAGCTATTGGAATACCACATTAATCATAATAAGAACAGGAAATTGGAAATATCATTTTATTTATGCTTTTACAAACATATTTACAGTAAACAGTAAAGCAGTTCATCATCCAGTAGTTTAATCCAAATATATGATCAAAGGTTGGTTACAAGATGATCTTGATACAGTTTTATCCCATTAGGCTTTCTTAGTCAAACCACATTTCACTGGCTGACTTTGGCATGGCCTTAGAATAAACTTTGCAGCAAGCCATTAATTAGACTATTTGCATTTGGAGAATGTCCACCGACTGTCTTCTCTAGAATATAAGTAAGGAATTGATGATAAGAGGGGTTTAAACTTAAAGATAAATTGACAATACGCTTGATTAACGCTAATAAGCTTATTCAATGATGAACACAGCCGTCCAAATAAATAGAAGAAAAAACAAAAACAAATCACATTCAAAACTTCTTAATACGGCCTTTCGAGGTGCAAGAGTTTGAAAGAATCACATCCCCATTGCACACTTGCATCACATTTAATAACTCCTCATTTCAACTTACTATTCCTTTTTTCCTTTAAAGATATGCAGTTGCTACAAATATTCAGCGCTGCAGTCAGAGACTGAAAGATGCTTTGCAAAAACCATTGTATATTCAAGGAGCACTGATAAGGAAGGTAAAACATGGATCTCCAAGGGAACAGCCGTAGGGATGCTGAACTGAGCCTTGATGGTAGGCTTATAGGTGCAGGTTTATTACAAGGGATAGCCAGTAGGGGGAGCTTTGTCATACTTATTGCTCTCTAGTGAAAAAGGTGGAATGCGCACGTCAAAGTGTGAGCCATCTGTCCTCTCAAAACAGAATGTCCCCCTAAACAAGAAAACAAAACGTGATGTTCATGCGTCATTACTAAAACACAACATAACAGAGCGAAACCACATTGTCAATTCAGATACACCAAAAACAAGCATTCAGCCATCCAGTCTAACAGGTGGACCACATTTCCCGGCTACATGATTTAAAAAAAATATATATATAAAAAAGTAAAGCTAGCTTGGTTGTAAGAGTATGTTGATAATCTCACCACATGTGTCCACTGGGTGCCTGAAGTGAAACATGACTGCTGTATTGAAATGCAGGTTGTTCTCTTGACAAAACAGGCTCCTGGTGAGATAATGATGGATTGCATTCAGCAAACAAATCATATTTCCATAGTCTTTAACTCTGGTTTATGCTTTTGCTAATTAATAACCTTGCCAACCACTCCTCTGCCACGGACTGTTTCCAGAGTCCCTGAGAGACTGAAGATCCTCCAGTGTCTTTCCCTGAGTTGAACCACCTCATTGCCCAGGTTCTCCAGACGGATGCAGTACCGCCACTGAGGAAAACATCAACATATTATCTCTAACAGGTCACCAATGGCTATTCTATATATAACCCTTTTATTGAGTTATTATAAAAAACATAATTAGGTAATTTTGCCTACCCAGTACACGTGGGAGTTTTGAGCCTCCTGTTGACAAACAAAAACAGGTCAGAATCAGGACTAGGAGTTACATTCACTTCACTTCCATACATACTCTAAATATAAATTATAATTATACATAAATTCTGCTTTTCTTCAGCAAGGTTTGCATTAAATTGATCAAATTTAGACAGTAGAGACATTTATAATGTTACATTTGTTACAAAACCCAAACTTTTCAACAGTAGTGTATAGACCTTAATCTGGTTAGATGCCATATTGAATTCAAAGGGATAGTTCACCAAAAAAATGAAAATTCTGTTACTACTCACCCTCATGTCATTCCAGACACAAATTCACAGTGTATTCACAACACAAATTCCAAGTATTCACAGTGCTTCACTTTTTCCACATTTTGATGTTACAGCCTTATTCCAAAATGGATTAAATTCATTATTTTCCTCAAAATTCCACAAACAATACCCCATAATGACAACGTGAAATAAGTTTTTGAAATCTTCGCAAATTCATAAAAAAAAAAAAAATCACATGTACATTAGTATTCACAACCTTTGCCATGAGACTCAAAATTGAGCACAGGTGCATCCTGTTTCCACTTATCATCCTTGAGATGTTTCTACAACTTGATTGGAGTCCACCTGTGGTAAATTCAGTTGATTGGACATGATTTGGAAAGGAACACACCTGTCTATAAGGTCCCACAGTTAACAGTGCATGCCAGAGCACAAACCAAGCCATGAAATCCAAGGAATTTTCTGTAGATCTCTGAGACAGGATTGTATCGAGGCATAGATCTGGGGAAGGGTACAGAAAACTTTCTGCAGCATTGAAGGTTCACAGAAGCATGTAGTCTCGGTTACCCTTAATGGAAGATGTTTGAAACAACCAGGACTCTTCCTAGAGCAACTACAGGAAGCGTCTGACCTCTGTAATTGTAAACAAAGGTTTCTGTACCAAATATTAAGTTCTATTTTTCTATTGTATCAAATACTTATTTCATGCAATAAAATGGAAATTAATTATTAAAAAAAATCATACAATGTTATTTTCTGGATTTTTTTTTTGATTCTGTCTCGCACAGTTGAGGTGTACCTACGATGAAAATTACAGATCTCTCCATTCTTTGTAAGTGGGAAAACTTGAAAAATCGGCAGTGTATCAAATACTTATTTGCCCCACTGTATGCAGATGGGAGAAACCTACAGAAGGAAAAACATCATGTGCAACACTCCACTGATCTGGGCTTTATGGCGGTTTGGCCAAACTCAATTCTCTCCTCAGTGAAGACGCATGAAAACACTTGGAATTTGCAAAAAAAAAAAAAAGTGCCTTAAGGACCCTCAAACTGTGAGAAACAAGATTTTCTGGTCTGATGAACCTCAATTCTAAGCATCATGTTTGAAGGAAACCAGTTCCGCTCATCACCTGCAGAGTACCATCCCAAAAGTAAAGTGTGCTGGTAGCAGCCTCATGCTGTGAGGCTGTTTTTCAGCGGCAGGGACTGAGGGACTCGATAGAGTAGAAGAAAAGCTCAATGCACCAAAATATTGAGATGGCCTTAATGAAAACCCAGTCCAGAGCATTCAGAACCTCAGACTGGGCAGAGGTTCACCTTCCAACAGGACAACAACCCTAAGCACACAGCAAGAGTGGCTTATAGACAACTCTGTGAATGTCCTTGAGTGGCCCAGCCAGAGCATGAGCTTGAACCCAATCAAATATTTCTGGAGAAACCTGAAAATGTGTGTCTGCCCCCATCCAACCTGACAGAGCTTGAGAGGTGAATAGGAAGAGGAGAAAAATGGCAGATAATTGCCAAATGATGATGATCAAAGCTTGTCGCATCATACCCAAAAGATTTGAGGCTGTAATTGGTGCCAAAGATGCTTTCAAATACTTACGTACATGGTGTTATTTTGTTTCCCGGTTTTTATTTTTAATTAATTTGCAAAGATTTCAAACAAACTTCTTTTACACTATCATTATGGGGTATTGTTTGTAGAATTTTGAGGAAAATAATGAATTTAATCCAGTTTGAAATAAGGCTGTAACAATGT